ACGATTGTCGTATCACTAAGAGAGAAATTTCAAGTTATGAAGGTGGAGGCATTACTTTTTATTCAACTCTCGTAACAACCTCCAAAGGAGGAGACTACACTGCCCTAGGAGTCACTGCCATTTTCTTCCTGCAATGCAAGGCCTCGTTTGGCTCTGGTGACACTCTTCTGGCTTTGAGACTCAAATCATCCACCGTGCTTCTCTGAACTGTCCCTCCCCTCTTTTCGATTCTATCTCCTTCCTTTTGAATGACTTGCTCCGACATGGCCTGCAGTTTTGTGCATTTGTGATGCCGTTGGATTTGCTTTGATCCCGTCAAAAGGTTTGCTCCTGAAAAGGCCTTTCAGAAGGAAGAAAGGGTTGTGCAATTTTTTTAACAAAATGGCTCGAACATCAAATCCCAGTGGCGGGTTCAATGGGTCTTGTACTCCCAGAGATGCAAACAAAGAAATCCTGTCTTTTCCATGCCGGGTTGGAGCTGTTTTCTTTTTCTCCTCTGGAGTTTTTAATTAAATAGCAAAGATGCTGCTTTATAGTTGCTTTGGCAGAACGTTTCTAGTATTTTATAACTGACTTGCCGTCCTTAATATTGCCTTTCTGGCTCTTTTATTATAGTAATTTCTTTATTGTTCTATTCGTTTATATTTTTGTGCATTTAACACAAGGGCAGGCTTATCATATCCTTCCCAAGGTTGTGGGATCTTTCTGTTGCCCGAATGACCGATCATCGTCTCCCAAAGCAGTGCATTTGGCCCACCCACCATGTTTTAATTTTGTTTTATTTCTTCATCACGTTGTTTTGCATCTGTTTATTGCATTTTCTGTATATTGCATTTTCCAAGAAAAAACAGGGAACAAAATCAACCTCATTGACCTTGCACAGTGAATCACAGTGCTCTCTGGACCATCCTCCAAAATATCGGGTGCCCTTGAAAGGGTCTTTGAGCGAAATTTGCAAATACTAAGTAAAGGGCTTTGAATGAAGTTAACAACAAAATAGAAACATACCCTTTCTCTGTAGAAAAAGAGCAATACAAAAGAAAATGTTTTTAAGAAACAAGATGTGACATATAGAGGTACAAGAAGGTACTTTCTTACATAGGACGTGTTGTGGTTAACTTCAAAGGTTGTAGTATAGTGCAGAGTATGCATGTACAAGAAGGTACTTTCCATCAAAAGGTCAAGGGAGAGCGGCTGGAAAGAGTACTTTCCATGAAAAAAATGTTTTCTTTTGTTAAAGGTTAAAATTGTTGATGTCAGGCAGGGATACTTTCCCTTTTTGTTTGCACTGGGCTATAAAGATATGCAGATTTCAAGGGAAGAGCACGGCAGTCACTTGAAGGATAGCATCTGTGTATGTTGTCAGGCTGTCCATCTTCATCATGAAGAAACTAAAATAAAACCTTGTTTTTTGATCTTTCATTGGGACGGTCTCCTTCCTTTCGTGCTCCCGCGACGTGAGCATTAGGAAGAACTTCCTGACTGGGAGAGTTGTTCAGCAGTGGAAGTCTCTGTCCCGGAGTGTGGTGGAGGCTCCTTCTGTGGAGGCTTTGAAACAGAGGCTGGATGGCCATCTGTCGGGGGTGCTTTGAATGCAGTTTTCCTGCTTCTTGGCCAAATGGGGTTGGACTGGATGGCCCACAAGGTCTCTTCCAACTCTAGGATAATATGATTCTTAAGAACTTTCTGACTGTGAAAGCTGTTCAGCAGTGGAACTCTCTGTCCCGGAGTGTGGTGGAGGCTCCTTCTGTGGAAGCTTTGAAACAGAGGCTGGATGGCCATCTGTTGGGGGTGCTTTGAATGTGATTTGCCTGCTTCTTGGCCAAATGGGGTTGGACTGGATGGCCCACGAGGTCTCTTCCAACTCTGTGATTCTGTTTCTAAGAACTTCTTGACTGTGAGAGCTGTTCAGCAGTGGAACTCTTTGCCATGGAGTGTGGGTGGAGGCTCCTTCTTTGGAGGCTTTTAAACAGAGGCTGGATGACCATCGGTCGGGGGTGTTTTGAATGCAGTTGTCCTGCTTCTTGACAGAATGAGGTTGGACTGGATGACCCAACTCTTCCAACTCTAGGATTCTATGAGTGACTAGGACCATCTAGTCCAACCTTCTGCCATGCAGGAATACACAACTAAAACCCTAATTAAAGATGGCCATCTCATCTCCAAAGGAGAGGGATCAACTGTTCCAAAAGGCAGTCCAGTCTCATTTTGCTTTGCACTGTTTGCAGGCTCTCTATTCCTTGCACAGTGGTCAACCAAGACTTTAGAGCAAGTGCCAGACATCCCAGGATGTGTCCCTTTGGCACGAGTGTCACCTCCTTGTCAAACTCCCTGCCTGAACGGTGAGGAAGGGGTCACAATGTAATTAATCTACCTCAGCATGAAGGGAAGAAGCAAAACGCACCACAGAGAGAGAGAGAGAGATTCATGTCCAAACAGCCTCGGTAGAGGCCTCGCGTTACCAGCGGAGCCTGGAACAGAATAGCAATGAGGTTGGAGGTGGTGTGTCATTTGCAGCTCTGCCACACGGGCCAAGCCTGCGGTGGTGGAATCACGGCCAGGTCTTTATCAGGCACTGGCAGAACCGTGTTACAGTATGTTACAAAAGGATCAACATCAAGTGTGTGTGTTAAAGAAAACTGTATACTATTGATCATTATGTGCAGCTGCTACTCTAGGTCAGCTAGTAAATTTGAGCCGCACCAGGTGGGGTATAACTGTATGTGTTTTAGAATACAGTTCAGTTTTTGCTCTGAGGAGCTTATGCTCACAGCATTCTAAACTAATGGGGTGAACAACATTACAGTAAGTTGCAAAAGGATCAACAGCAAGCATGTGTGTGTTAAAGAAAACCTTATACCAGTGGTTCTCAACCTGGGGTCCCCAGATGTTTTTGGCCTACAACTCCCAGAAATCCTAGCCAGTTTAGCAGCTCTTAGGATTTCTGGGAGTTGAAGGCCAAAAACATCTGAGGACCCCAGGTTGAGAACCACTGCCTTATACTGTTAAACATTATGTGCAGCTGCTAATCTAGGTCAGCTAGTAAATTTGAGCCACACCGGGTGGGGTATAACTGTATGTGTTTTAGAATACAGTTCGGCTTTTGCTCTGAGGAGCTCATGCTCACAGCAGTCTAAACTAACGGGGTGAACAATGTTACAGTAAGTTGCAAAAAGATCAACAGCAAGTGTGTGTGTGTGTGTTAAAGAAAACCTTATACTGTTAAACATTATGTGCAGCTGCTAATCTAGGTCAGCTAGTAAATTTGAGCCACACCAGGTGGGGTATANNNGTATGTGTTTTAGAATACAGAAAAAGACCTACAAGCCACTCTAAACACCTTCGCAGAAGCATACAAGAAGCTCAACTTGTCATTGAACATTGAGAAAACCAAAGTGCCCTTCCAGCAGTCACCAGCCAATCCCTCTTCAATGTCAGAAATACAGCATTGACCTTGAGTTTGGGAGTTGTAGTTCACCTACATCCAGAGAGCACTGTGGTCTCAAACAATGATGGATCTGGACTAAACTTGGCACGAATATCCCATATGCCCAAATAAGAACACAGATGAGTTTGAGGGAAATAGACCTTGACATTTGGGAGTTGTAGTTACTGGGATTTATAGTTCACCTACAATCAAAGAGCATTCTGAACTCCACCAAGTGATGGAATTGAACCAAATGTGGCACACAGGACTCCCATGACCAACAGAAAACACTAGAAGGGTTTGGTGGGCATTGACCTTGAGTTTGGGAGTTGTAGTTCACCTACATCCAGAGAGCACTGTGGTCTCAAACAATGATGGATCTGGACCAAACTTGGCACGAATATTCCATATGCCCAAATATGAACACAGATGGAGTTTGAGGGAAATAGACCTTGACATTTGGGAGTTGTAGTTACTGGGATTTATAGTTCACCTACAATCAGAGCATTCTGAACCCCACCAATGATGGAATTGAACCAAATATGGCACACAGGACTCCCATGACCAACAGAAAACACTAGAAGGGTTGGTGGGCATTGACCTTGAGTTTGGGAGTTGTAGTTCATCTACATCCAGAGAGAACTGTCGATACAAACAAACTTGGCACCAATATTCCATATGCCCAAATATGAACACAGATGGAGTTTAAGGGAAATAGACCTTGACATTTGGGAGTTGTAGTTGCTGGGATTTATAGTTCACCTACAATCAAAGAGCATTCTGAACTCCACCAATGATGGAATTGAACCAAACTTGGCACACAGGACTCCCATGACCAACAGAAAACACTAGAAGGGTTTGGTGGGCATTGACCTTGAGTTTGGGAGTTGTAGTTCACCTACATCCAGAGAGCACTGTGGACTCAAACAATGATGGATCTGGACCAAACTTGGCACGAATATTCCATATGCCCAAATAAGAACACAGGTGAAGTTTGAGAGAAATAGACCTCGACATCTGAGAGCTGTAGTTACTGGGATTTATAGTTCACCTACAATCAAAGACCATTCTGAACCCCACCAACGAGAGAATTGGGCCAAACTTCCCACACAGAACCCCCATGACCAACAGAAAATACTTAAGGCTATCCAGTCCAACTCCCTTCACCAGGGCAAGAAAACATAATCAAAGCTCTCCTGACAAAGAGCCATCAAGCCATAGATAATAGATAGATATATATGATTCACACACACAGAGATATAGTATCAGATTTGAAAGTGACCCCTAAAGAAGGACAATTATATGTTGCCTGTTCCAGAGTAGGAAAACCAGACAATCTCCACATTAATACTGACAAAGAAACAGTAAGATATATATATATATATATATATATATATATATATATATATATATATTCCCTACTTTGCAGATTTTCACTTTTTGCAGGTTGTCCTGGAAAGTAACACCCGCGATCAGTGAGGGAACACTGCATTTCAGTCTATTAGTTGGTGTCTTAGTCTCCAGAGCAGCAGAAAAGAAGCTCATTCCCTCTTTTATCATTCAACGGACTCACGTTTTCACATAGGGGTCTGAGTAGCCGTTGGCATCCATGGCGGCCAAGTGTGCGCAGCGGACGATGCCCACATGCAGGGCTTGCTTCTGGGAGTTGTATTTGAGGGAGATCAGGATCCGACCGCGCTCTTCCAGGGACTTGTCCTCTGTTTTGTCAATCTGTGGGGAGAGAGGGGTGCGTCAAAGCAGGCATTAAGAGGAATGCATAGCCCCGGCTCCTAAAACACACACGCACTAGTGGCGGGAATTCCTTGGGGATATGTGTCTCAGCAAACCAATAAGCAAAGTTAAGCATACCTTATCTTCCAATGACTACGGAAACAAGCAAAAGCACAAAGCTTCCAAAGATGCAGTAAGTAGAGCTTTTATTCTAGTTTGACTAAAGGAGGGGAGAAATCCTTTGGCTCTTCCCTTAGGAGAATACTTACTTACTTATGGAATTACGGAAAAAATAGACCCTTGTCTGATCCCACAGCAAGCTGGCTTCAGAAAAGGCAAAAGCTGCACATCACAAGTGTTGAACCTGACTCAGCCCATAGAAGATGGCTTTGAAAGGCAGCAGATCACTGGAGCTGTCTTCATAGACCTGTCAGCAGCTTATGATACTGTGAACCACCGCCTCCTCCTGAGAAAAATGTATAATATCACAAAGGACGACCACCTCACCCGCCTCATAGGAAACCTGCTACAAAACAGGAGCTTTTTTGTTGAGTTCAGGGCCAGAGAAGCAGATGGCGGAAACAGAAGAACGGCCTGCCTCAGGGGAGCGTGCTTGCTCCATCCATGTTCAACATCTACACAAATGACCAGCCACTGCCAGAAGGGACAGAGAGTTTCATCTATGCTGATGATCGTGCCATCAACACTCAAGCAGGGAGCTTTGAGATGGTAGAACAGAAGCTCTCCGAAGCTCTAGGTCAGGGGTCCTCAAACTTTTTAAACCGGGGGCCAGTTTACTGTCCCTCAGACCGATGGAGGGCTGGACTATAGTTTTTTTTAAAAAAAATGAATAAAAAAATTCCTATGCACATTGCACATATCTTATTTTGCTGTGTGGAAGGGCCCTTAGAGGGGGTTCTTTCTAGACCTCTTTAGGCAGTAATTCCAGGAGCAGAGAATGGGAAATCTTCCTATTTCTAGTCTGAACAAAATCTAAAATTATAACTGTAAATAAAGAACAACACTCAAACACAGGGGAACTCCAGACAAGAAACAATCAGGGCCAGCTAATCACCTCTCAACAAAGGATTCTCCCTAAAAACTGTCAGGCTATGAAATGGCAATCAAGGTGGCCAATTGAAACATTCATACCTACCTCCAACAGGCAAGAGTTCTTTCTCCCACCCTGGATCTTCCAAGGTTTTCCTCTGACATGAAGTTAAAGGTTTTCCTCTGACATGAAGTCCAGTCGTGTCTGACTCTGGGGTGTGGTGCTCATCTGGATTTCTAAGTCGAAGAGCCAGCGTTGTCCGTAGACACCTCCAAGGTCATGTGGCCAGCATGACTGCATGGAGCGCCAGGGCAGCCTCCCTTGGCTGGCTCAGGCTGTCCATCAGGCCCGATGGACAGCGTGAGCCTGCCAAGGGAGGAGCAGGCCCGCACGGCTTACTTGCGAGTAAAGCACCTCGCAAGGTGTTTTACGCGCAAGTAGACCACGCGGAGCAGCCTCCCTTGGCTGGCTCAGGCTGTCCATGGGGTCTGACGGATAGCGTGAGCCAGCCAACAGAGGGGCACTGTGTGTGTGGGGGGGTGCTCCTCCTCCGTGGGCCGGATCAGGGCCCTTGGCGGGCTGGAAGTGGCCCGCGGGCCGTAGTTTGGGGACCCCTGCTCTAGGTGCTCTTACTGCCTATTACAGGGAAAACCAACTGATCCCTAATCCATCTAAAACACAGGCATGCGCCTTTCACCTTAAGAACAGACAAGCATCCCGAGCTCTGAGGATTACCTGGGAAGGAATCCCACTGGAGCATTGCAGCACACCCAAATACCTGGGAGTCACTTTGGACCGTGCTCTGACCTACAAGAAGCACTGCCTGAACATCAAGCAAAAAGTGGGTGCTAGAAACAATATCATACGAAAGCTGACTGGCACAACCTCGGGATCACAACCAGACACAGTGAAGACATCTGCCCTTGCGCTATGCTACTCTGCTGCTGAGTACGCATGCCCAGTGTGGAACACATCTCACCACACTAAAACAGTAGATGTGGCTCTTAATGAGACATGCCACATTATCACGGGGTGTCTGCGCCCTACACCACTGGAGAAATTACACTGCTTAGCCGGTATTGCACCACCTGACATCCGCCGGGAAGTAGCAGCCAATAGTGAAAGGACCAAGGCAGAGACATCTCCAGCTCACCCCGTTTGGGTATCAGCCAGCACGTCAACGACTTAAATCAAGACATAGTTTTCTTAGATCTACAGAGACACTCGCTGGAACACCTCAGCAAGCGAGAGTCCAAAAGTGGCAGGCCCAAACCCAGCACCTCAATCCATGGGTGATACCAGATGAGAGACTCCCCCTGGGCACACAGAAGACTGGGTGACTTGGAAGGGGCTGAACAGACTGCGCTCTGGCACCACGAGATGCAGAGCCAATCTTAAGAAATGGGGCTACAGGGTGGAATCCACATGCGAGTGCGGAGAAGAGCAAACCACTGACCACCTGCTGCAATGCACCCAGAGCCCTGCCACATGCACAATGGAGGACCTTCTTGCGGCAACACCAGAGGCACTCCAAGTGGCCAGATACTGGTCAAAGGACATTTAATCAACTACCAAATTTCTTTTTAATCTGTGTGTTTGTTTTGCTCTGTTAGAATTGTAATACAATGGCATGGTTGCTGATGACACGATAAATAAATAAATAAATAAATAAATACTGGTAGCCAGTCAAGTTGTAGGTTTTACGGAAGCATAGGGGGTCTGCACTATCTTTGCACTTCAGCATGGATCTGTGCCTGCCTTTCTCAACTGGGGTGCCCACCAGTTCAACCCCAAGCATAGAATTGTGCCAGAGGGCATAGGAAATTTGCATTTAAGCCCCTAGTAGATGGTGCTGTCTCTCTGCACAGAAGCCACCAGCTGCTGTGGCCTCACCTCTTTCCACCTTCCTCTCCATCCCTCGCAGCCATCAATCTCTGCACAGTAAGTCCGACGCCATTAATTTGCCTGCTCCAAACGGTGACTGTGCTCATTACCATCCGCCCAGAGCCGGGATTAAAGGCAGCGCAAATGACAACCGATGGCATGTTTAAGGGAGTGTCAGAGTCAATCAGGATCCTGCTCGCATGCGCTGGCGCCCCAGGGGAGGAGAGGCCGAGCGAAAGGCGGGCATCACCTGTGGTCATGTGAAAATGTGGTGACTTAGCTTGACCTTCAAAAAGTCCTCACCTCTTGGGGTGGGGGATGTTTTTCAGGTGGGAATGGGAATTTTCTGGGGGTACATAGAAAAACCCATTGCAAGCAGCACCGCACTTGAACACCAAGCACAAAGTAGCTGCACACAATAACATCCTGTGGAAACTTACTGGCAGCACATGGGGTGCAGACCCAAAATTAGTAAGAACATCAGCCCTCGCCTTGTCTTACTCAGCTGCCGAGTATGTCTGCCTTGTTTGGCATAAGTCTGCCCATGCAAAGCAAGTGAACATAGTGTTGAATGAAACATGCAGAATAACCACAGGATGTCTTAAACCTACACCTGTGGATAAACTCTAGCTGGCATTGCCCCCCCTCCCGTGGTCATGTGAAAACGTGGCAGCTTAGCTTGACCTTCAAAGTTCTCACCTCTTGGGGTGGGGGCTGTTTTTCAGGTGGGAATGGAAATTCTCTGGGGGTACATAGAAAAACCCAATGCAAGCACTTGAACACCAAGCACAAAGCAGCTGCACGCAATAACATCCTGTGGAAACTTACTGGCAGCACATGGGGTGCAGACCCAAAATTAGTAAGAACATCAGCCCTTATCTTACTCAACTGCTGAGTATGCCTCCCTGTTTGGCACAATTCAAAGTGCTGGCTTTGGCCAATAAAGCCCTAAATGGCTCCGGCCCAGTTTACCTGTCCGAATGCATCTCCCCCTATGAACCATCGCGGAGATTAAGATCCTCCGAGGAGGCCCTGCTTTCCATCCTGCCATTGTCACAGGCACGATTGGTGGGGACGAGGGACAGGGCCTTTTTGGTGATTGCTCCCCGGCTATGGAACTCCCTCGTGTGAGATCAGGTCGGCCCCCCCCCTCCTGTCCTTTAGAAGGATGGTAAAAACTTGGCTGTGGGACCAAGCTTTCGGGACAGGGCAATAAAGCAGCAATAGGAAATATTACCAGGCCAATTAGATTTGACACAGGTGACCAGGATGGTTTTAAGTGGTGTATTTTAATATTGAGATATATGTTTTTAATGTTTATGTGTGTATATGAATTTGTGTCCTGGCATGGAATGTTTGCCGTATATATGCTGTGCTCCGCCCTGAGTCCCCTTCGGGGAGAGAAGGGCGGAATATAAATGTTTTAAATAAATAAGTATCTGTTTCTGTGACCTTTTAACCACAATGTACGAGGATTAACCAGGAAAAAAGAATTAATAATAACATCATCCGTGGCCTTGTCTTACTCAACTGCTGAGTATGCCCTCCCTGTTTGGCATAAGTCTGCCCATGCAAACCAGGGGAACATAGCATTGAATGAAACATGCAGAATAATCACAGGATGTCTTAAACCTACACCTGTTGATAAACTCTACAAGCTAGCCCCCCGTGATGTGCGATGGAAGTTGCTGCTAAATGTGAGAGAAATAAGGTTGAACACTGTGAAAGCCACCCACTGCATGGCTACCAGCCTCTTCCCAGTAGACACAAATCAAGGAAAAGCTTTATGAGAACTACTACTCCATGCAAACCAGGTGAACAAAGCATTGAATGAAACATGCAGAATAATCACAGGATGTCTTAAACCTACACTTGTTGATAAACTCTACAAGTTAGCTAGCATTGCCCCCCCTCCCCCCAATGTGCGACGGGAAGTTGGTGAGAGAAATAAGGTTGAACATTGTGAAAGCCACCCACTACATGGCTACCAGCCTCTTCCCAGTAGACTCAAATCAAGGAAAAGCTTTATGAGAACTACCACTCCATGCAAACCAGGTGAACATAGCATTGAATGAAACATGCAGAATAATCACAGGATGTCTTAAACCTACACCTGTTGATAAACTCTACAAGTTAGCTGGCATTGCCCCCCCCCCCCGATGTGTGATGGGAAGCTGCTAAATGTGAGAGTCAAACACGGTGAAAGCCACCCACTACATGGCTACCATTCTCCTCCCAGTAGACTCAAATCAAGGAAAAGATTTATGAGAACTACCACTCCTATTGATGTCCCTCCCAGCAACAGCAAGGGTATCCCTCTGGGCAACTCAACCAGGAAACCCCACCTGGATACCACCCCCCCCCCATGAGGGAGGGTCTTCCTCCAAGGGCAAACCAAGAATGGGCAACTTGGAAGTCCCTGAACAGACTCAGAAATGGAGTGGGCAGATCAAAAGACAACCTGGCAGAATGGCATGACCTAAAAGAATTCCACACCTTGTGTGACTGTGGAGCAGAACAGACAACTCCGCATCTGATCTTGGAGTCCTCGTGGGCAACAAGTTAAACATGAGCCAACAATGTGATGCGGCGGCAAAAAAAGCCAATGGGATTTTGGCCTGCATCAATAGGAGTCTAGTGTCTAGATCCAGGGAAGTCATGCTCCCTATGCTCTTTTCTGCCTTGGTTAGACCACACCTAGAATCATAGAATCGTAGACTCAAAGAGTTGGAAGAGACCTCATGGGCCATCCAGTCCAACCCCCTGCCAAGAAGCAGGAATATTGCATTCAAAGCACCCCTGACAGATGGCCATCCAGCCTCTGTTTAAAAGCTTCCAAAGAAGGAGCCTCTACCACACTCTGGGGCAGAGAGTTCCACTGCTGAACAGTTCCCAAAGTCAGGAAGTTCTTCCTCACGTTCAGACAGAATCTCCTTTCTTGTAGTTCGAAGCCACTGTCTCCCTAGTCTCCAGGGCAGCAGAAAACAAGCTTGCTCCCTCCTCCCTGTGGCTTCCTCTCACATATTTATACATGGTTATCATATCTCCTCTCAGCCTTCTCTTCTTCAGGCTAAACATGCCCAGCTCTTTAAGCCGCTCCTCATAGGGCTTGTTCTCCAGACCCTTGATCATTTTAGTCGCCCTCCTCTGGACACGTTGCTGCTGCCCGTTTTTGATCAAAAGATATTTAGCTGCCTGTGCTCTTTCTAGTTTAATCGGTTTTATGCAAATTCATGCAATGCTTTTGATAGGAAATAAAAATAATAAGCACCGCACCATGTGTTGACCCAAGCAGCAGAAGCTGCATCCAACTCCACACTGTGTGTTCTTCAAACTAGAAGTTCTGAGATCAGTTGTGGATTTGATGAGTTGTGGATTACTTTGACCACAGAAGCATAGAGGAGGACCTAGAGATGCCCAGAGATGTGTTATCTTGTCTAAAATAAATACCCCCATCTGACAACTGTCTGGTAAAGTAGGTTTGGGAGGTCTAGGCCTGACAACCTTGGGCTTCACTTACAGGCAGTTGCTTCTCCAGGCAGATGTTGAACTTCTTGGTCTGGTTGGGCTTCAGCTTCTTCAAGGGGATCCTCGTTTCTCCAATGAACTCATTGTGGCGGAATTTGTCCTCGTCGCAGACAGAAACCCTGGAAGGCAGAAGAGGAGCCCATGTGAGCAGTGCTAAAGATACCAAGTCAGAGACACCCAGAGGAAATTTTCAACGGTAAGCAAACAGTTTTTGCCCCCCCCCCCCCAACCAATCACTGATATATATTTTCTGTTCGTCGTGGGAGTTCTGTGTGCCATATTTGGTTCAATTCCATCATTGGAGGAGTTCAGAATGCTCTTTGATTGTAGGTGAACTATACATCCCAGTAACTACAACTCACATATGTCAAGGTCTATTTTCCCCCAAGAGCGCCTCAGGAGCGCCCCTGGGAAAAATCAACTATACTGCGACTGCTTACTTTGCGTAATGGTTGAGCCGCCTCTGGAGAGACCCCATGCCTTGGGATTTCAGGGCTGAAGCCTCAGATCTCGGCACAGAGCCTGGTGGGTATGCATAAAGGACCAAACATACAAACAGCTTGTCGTTCAAGCACACACACACACACACAAAGCACCGGTTTGGAAAGGAAGAGAGAACTGGGTTGCTGTGAGTTTTCCGGGCTGTCTGGCCAAGTTCCAGAAACATCCTCTCCTGCCGTTTTGCCCAAATCTATGGCAGGCACCCCCCGAGGTTGAGGATGAAACCATAAAAATGAGCAAAATCTGGCTACCAGTATTATAAAAAAACTCTAAAATCAGGACAGTAAATAAAGAGCAACACTCCAAAAGCAGGGGAATTCCAGGCAAGAATTAATCAGCGCCAGCTAACACCTCCCAACAAAGAATATAATAATAATAATAATAATAATAATAATAATAATAATAATAATAATCTTTATTTATTCCCCGTGGGAACATCCTGCGGCTCCTCCACGATAACATTATGGCAACAGCCTTGGACAGGAATGGCTCCCAAACTGACCCATTTAAGGTGGAATCAGGTGTCAAATAGGGATATGTTATTGCCCCGACCTTGTTCTCCATCTTCATCGCTATGATACTTCATCTTGTTGATGGGAATCTTCCCACCGGAGTGGAAATCATCTATTGGACAGACAGCAAGCTATTTAACTTCAGCGGATTGAAAGCCAAAACCAAGGTTGCAAAAACATCTGTTATAGAACTCCAGTATGCTGATGACAACGTTGTCTGTGCACATTCAGAACTAATGGGGTGAACAATGTTACAGAAAGTTGCAAAAAGATCAACATCAAGTGTGTGTGTTAAAGAAAACCTTATACTGTTAGTCATTATGTGCAGCTGCTAATCTAGGTCAGCTAGTAAATTTGAGCCACACCCAGTGGGAAGAAGAAGGCCTACAAACCACCTTCGCAGAAGCATACAAGAAGCTCAGCCTGTCATTGAACATCAAGAAACCAAAGTGCTTTCCAGCAGTCACCAGCCAATCCCTCTCCAATGCCTGAAATACAGCTTCATGGTGTAACATTAGAAAATGTTGACCATTTCCGCTTCCTTGGCAGCCACCTCTCCACCAAAGTCAACATTGACATTGAAATACAACACTGCCTGAGCTCTGCGAGTGCAGCATTTTTCTGAATGAAGCAGAGAGTGTTTGAGGACTGCGACATCCGTAGGGAGACCAAGGGGCTTGTGACAGCGCGAGTGGCGCCACCTATGTGTAGAACTGTCAGTTGCAAGATTTAAACTGTTGTATCATGCTTAATCTTGCCTTTTTACCCTGCTTATGTATAATTGGATTGATTGGTCATTTATAGCTGTCAATCAGTGTTGTTTGCACCAGTTGAATTGCTTTCTCAAGCTCAATTGTGTGGCTCCACCTCTTCCTGGAGGAGGGGAGTGCTTCCCTTTTTTTTATTCTGCCATCAGAGTTTCTATCAGATGGATGTGAGTAAGAGACTTGGCTCTAAAAGCCCCTGCTTAAATTATCTCTCAGCACCAATTGTAAGGTTTTTTTACCCTTGGGGCTCATGCTTTATGTCCAGATCATCCTGGACAACATTGAGGGGACCCAAGCGCCCTCAAACCGGTTCTTTTGGCACCAGAGGAAGGTCTTGTCCCTTCAACATAGGCCATTGGACTGGGGTTGTGTTTATTCCGATATTCACAGCCATTGAGGAACGAGGAAACAGGAAAAGCTTCTCAGCTGCAAACTTCTTGGACTTCAGAGATTGTAAAGTATATTTCCTTTATCCCTGTTGAAACATCAAGCTTATGCTTGAGAAAGATAACTCATTGTGAACAATAAATACCATTTCGTGTTGTCTGCAGTGTTTTGGGTCTTTGGGAGTTCCAGTTTCCTATAGGAGGGCAAGAAGCAATCCCCTGGGGAAAGATGCCACGTCCATGCCTCTTTCACTAAGGGTTATAGCCCGCAGGCGCGACGGCACAGGGCTTGTTTATAGAGCTATTGTCCTCCCAACCCTGCTATATGCCTGCGAGGTATGGACTGTCTACAGATGTCACATGCAACTCCTAGAATGATTCCATCAGCATTGCCTTCAAAAAATCCTGCAAATCTCTTGGGAAGACAGGCGAGGAAATGTCAGCGTGCTGGAAGAAGCAAAGACCACCAGCATTGAAGCGATGGTCCTCCACCATCTACTCCTCTGGACCGACCACCTTGTCCGAATGCCTGTCTCCAAAAGCAGTTGCTTTACTCTGGATTCAAGAATGAAAAACAGAATGTTGGAGGACAGGAAAAGAGGTTTAAAGACGGGCTCAAAGCCAACCTTAAAAACTAGGGCATAGACACTGAGCTCCAGCAAAGGATCGCCACCTTGTCGTGGCGCTGGAGCTTGAGCACCTCAACGATGTCACAAGAGAAACCGTGAAGGGCCACCCAAGATGGGATGGTTGTGGCACTCTCTGTCAGACCTCTCGTCAGACCAAGCGCGATCCCTGGGGAAGGCAATGACAAACCACCCCAAGAAAACTAAATGGACAAGTACAACCAGAGATATGTCGGTATGCCATTGGAAGATGAGACTCCCTGATTGGTAGATGGCCAAAATGCTCAAGATGGATGGATGGGATCCTTGAAGTGACTGGATTGACCTTGAAGGAGCTGGGGGTGGTGACGGCCGACAGGGAGCTCTGGCGTGGGCTGGTCCATGAGGTCACAAAGAGTCGGAAACTACTGAATGAATAAACAACAACAACAAGACATTGAGAACTGGGAAGCCTTGGCCCTTGAGTGCTCCATGTGACGGCGCGAGTGGCGTCACCTATGTGTAGAACTGTTAGTTGCAAGATTTAAATTGTTGTATCATACTTAATACTGCCTTTTTTTTACCCTGCTTATGTATAGTTGGATGGATTGGTTACTTATAGCTGTCAATCAGTATTGTTCGGCTCCACCTCTTCCTGCAGGAGGGGAGTGCTTCCTTTCTTTTCATTCTGCCATCAGAGTTTCTACCAGATGGACGTAAGAGACTTGGCTCTAATAGCCCCTGATTAAATTACCTCTCAGCATCAGTTCTGAGGTTTTTTACCCTTGAGACTTTTGCTTCATGCTCAGACCAACCTGAACGATGTTGGAAGTCTCAAGCGCCCTCAAACCGGTTCTTTTGGCACCAGAGGAAGATCCTGAATCTTCAAACATAGGCCATTTGAACTGAGGTTGTGGTTTGCTCCGGCATTCACAGCCATTGAGGAAAGAGGAAACTTGGAAAAGCTACTCAGCTTCAAACTCCTTGGATCCAGGACTAACTGAGACTGTAACGTATATTTTCCTTCACCCCTCTGAAGTTTCCAGCTCATTGCTTTAAAGAAATAATTTTGTGATCAATAAAACTTATTTTGAGTTATTTACGGCGTATTGGGTTTTGGAGAGTTCCAGTTTCTTATAGGAGGGCAAGAAGCAATCCCATGGGGAAAGATGCCATGTCCATGCCTCCTTCATTTAGAATTATAGCCCCCAGGCACGACAGCACACTCCCGCTGGAGGTCAGCTGTGACCAGCAGTGCTGTACAATTTGAAGAGGCACGAATGGAGGGCGAAAGAGAAAAACGTGCCAACTAAGAGGAAGATGCGTCAAGCCAACCCCGACCGGGACCGCCTTCCGTCTGGAAACTGATGCCCTCACTGCGGGAGAACATGCAGGCCAAGAATAGGGCTCCACAGTCACCTATGGACCCGAACTTGGAAGACAATCCTACTCGGACAACGAGGGATCGACTAAGAAGAAGAAGATGTTGGTAAACTCTAAAACCACTCCAACATTTGACATTAGAGTGGTCAAGCGGCATGAGAGTCAAGATGGCAGACGTAGTACACAACAACGTGCTTTCCTAAATAGAATACACCCAGAATTGTGAACTCTGTAAAACGGTGATGTTCCAACGCCTTCTAATGATTGTGTGAACAAAATGGTGTGAAGGCTTAAGAACTGAGCATGAGTCAGTCCTAATGGTTCCTCCTGAAAACCGAGCCATTTTCTGCCTTTTAGGACTCTTTCTCACTCTCTCACACACAATCTTTTGCCAAAGGGAGATTCATTAAAACCGTCCTTATTAAAGAGAGCGAAGGAGCTGCTCGGAGAGGAGAAAGAGAAAAGGCAGGCGAGTGAATGAAAGGTGTTACATAAAGGTTGGCCAAGAGGGTGGATGTTAGTTACAATCCCGAGAGAGGCACACATATAATGACTGTTGAAATGTGTGATGAAGTGAGTTGGGCCTTCTCCGTGGGACCAAAATACTCCACCATGACTTGAAGCTAAGTGAAGGGTAAATAATAATGAAACGAGGGATAAAGTGGGGCTGAGTGAAGAGGGAGAACTAACTGAAATCTTAAAAGTCTCGAATCTAGGACGTGGAACAATGGCTTCAAACTACAGGAAAAGAAATTCCATCTGAACATTAGGAAGAACTTCCTGATTGTGGGAACTGTTCAGCAGTGGAACTCTCTGCCCCGGAGTGTGATAAAGGCTCCTTCTTTGGAGGCTTTTAATCAGAGGCTGGATGGCCATCTGTTGGGGATGCTTTGAATGCAATTTTCCTGCTTCTTGGCAGAATGGAGTTGGACTGGATGGCCCATGAGGTCTCTTCCAACTCTAGG